GAAGGTGAAGGTGCCGGCAGCCATAGCCGAGGTGAGGAGTTGACCAGAGGGTTGACCAAGCGCTGACCGGGGTTGACCGTGTTGACTCGGCGTTGACTGGAGCTGCTGCCCAAGATTTTGACCAAGCTGGAGTTGGTGATATCTCGTTGACCCTTCAGCCTATCCCCTTACCCTGTGGATGTGCACTTACCCCACGGTACTTGCTGAGTTGTCTGTCTACTCTTTCTGCATTGAGTCTCTTCTGTCTTAGGTGCTAGGACTCTGTGGATGAAGGATAGGGCCTTGCTGCCAAACCCGCACGGGCTTAGTAGGACCTAAGCTCTACTCTGACACTTGGAGACCTGGGCATGAGCGGCGAGCGCTCGTTAAACAACTCGTCTAGCCCAATGACCGGTACTGCCCGGCAGGTCTACTGAGTCCAGTGTGGAGGGTCTGAACTCCGAGCTGTAGGCTGAAACGAAGGCCATCTTTAAGTGTTGAGGCCTGGTTGAGCCACTCCCCTACCGGACCTAGTAAGGCTGATGATCTGTGTCTGACGACTCGACTGTCCCGAGGGATACGAACCCCTCCAAGGACCGGTACAGACCGGCGGGCTGCTCGGTGTGGCACAGTAGGCCGGAACGGCTGAGTTGTGGGGTGAAATCGCCAGAGGAACCAAGCTGATCACGTCATCCTGTCTGCGACGTTAAAGAATTCTTGCGGAGTTTGGGGGATCTCCTTAAATGCCTCCTGATCAGCTCTTGGTTCTGTAGTGACAGCCTTAGAGTAGTCTTGGGTTAGTAGTGGCCATAGTTGACAGGGTCTTATCCTATGGTCCTTAGGAAGTCAGTCAGTAGGTTAGTGTGTCCGGGTAGGGCTACGTGGTGAGGAGTGGGACCCTTGTCGTGCACCAACACCACGATGGATGACTACCTGATGTATGGGTTGCTGGTTGGGTTCTCCCTTTGGGGGACCCTCTGGCGTCTCCTCTTTCCTCTGGGATTATGGCATACCTTTCCGTGTAGAGTAGGGCCCACTCAAGGTGGTACCGCCACCCAACCATACACGAAGGAGGAGGAGGAGAAGATGGCCACCATCTTGCAGGAGAGGAAGGAGAAGAAGGAGGTCAAAAAGAAGGCCTTGAAAGAAGAACAGGCGGCCGAATTGAAGAAGATGGAGGAAGAAATGGCCAGGGAGAAGGAGAGGCTGATAAAGGAAGAAGAGGAGAAGCTAAAGGAGGTGGATGAAGAGAAGGAGGGACCACCACTGCAAAGGAGTGGGCAGCACAGCGGCCGCAGCAGTGATGAGATGGAGAAGAAGATTTCGGAGTGGGTCGCCAACTTATCCCTGGGTGAGGAAGAAGAGGTTGCTATGTACATCCCCAAGGATGAGCAAGAAGCCGCCATGAAGAAATGGGAAGCAGAAGAAGATGTTCTGACGCGGCGGGCGATGGAGGATGAACAAAGGATGGTGTGGAAGCTCGCAGTGATGAGGGAGAAGAAGAGAAGAGTGGAGGTGGCGAATGCGGCATTGCAGGAACTGGAGGAGGTGAGGGCTGCCGTAACAACACAATTGATTCCGCAAGTGGATCTCCAACGTAAAGTGGAGATCATCGCCCAGAGCGTTGAGCGGTTAGCTAAAGTGCAAGAAAGGCACTTTGAGTTTAGTCGCAGCCAGGAGATATCTATACGCTCGATGCGAACGGGCTTACGGGATTTTGCTCGCGAACTAGTAGGCGCTGTGGGATCCGAGGTGAGTCATCGCCTCGAGAAGACTGAGCGTTTTTGTGTCG